GGGTAGAGGTGTATTTTGAAGAATAACTACACATTTTTGTATTGTATTCAAAATCTTAAAAATAATTCAATAGTATTATGAATTAATTACTAAGGTCCAAGCCAGGTCATCCCAGGTCACAATGCCCAGGGCAGGAAGCTGGGCCCATCCTCAGGGGACAGGAGCCACCACTGTGGGGTGAGTACAGGGCAGGCTCACTCTCCAACCATCCCTCTCCTTCATGGACTGCTCTCTGCACAAGACCTGTGACCCATCTACAATCTTTCCATGAGCAACTGGTGAGTCAAGACCAATCATTTGGGGAACACTGGATTAGGGTACTATTCTATATAACGGTGGCACAACTGGACCTGAAGTCAAGTAATGTGGGCAGGATTTGGGCCTTTAGTCTAGAGATCTATTATTGTTCTTACTGTAGAAACTAAATTAAAATATGTTAATGTTTTTAAATGGACATATTTTATTTTTTGACTGAAAATAAATGACAATTAAGATAGTGTGAACATTTTAAAAATGGTTTTTCTTATTATTATGGTCAAAGTTATAAAAAAACTCTAAACATGGAAACAAGCTATTATGCACATACATACCTTTTATTTTTCTCTGAGAGTGAAGGTTGGCTAAGAACATGAACATTGTCTTGTTCCCTTGCAAATTCAACAACTAAAGTGTGACCTAAAAGTCTCAGCTGATGCAGTCTTGACAATGCCTTAAAATAACCACAATAGCAACAAAGAATATTAAGATTCAGTTAAGTTAATAAATAGAAATATTTAAATACATTCCAATAAAAATAATATTTTCATCATTTTTCAAGGCTCAATTTTTCTTCCTGACATTTTTTCACCTAAACTTTAACTATATACAATGGAACAGGCAGAAGCCTACCACAACACGTGCCAACCTGGGTGGAAGTTGCTTTTGGAAAGGGAAAAGTAAACACATTAACTTTTCTGAAGTGCTAAGTCAAGGCTGTCAGTCAAAGTTTTAGTGATTACATGTTTTATTTTTAGTTTACAAAGTTCAAGCCTCTTTCGTTATAGCAAGTTATTTTTGAAAAATGTTGATATTGTATAGGAAAAATGACACCTCTATCAATATTAGTAACAGTCAGATATCCTTCAAATAAGGAAGTATAACTGAATAAATTTTGGCTTAATAATTAAATTTATCTGTTGCTCTCCATGTAGAACTTAAATATTCTATATTTATTAATAGATCAATGATTAAAAATAGACTGGTAGAACACCTGGAAAATCATGATATGATAGCGTCTAACCAGCACAGTTTCTCCAAAGGCAAATCATCTCTCACCTATTATTAGAAGTCTTTTAAAATGTCAACAAAGCAATGAATGAAACAAAACCAGTTGACATAATGTATGTAAACTTTCAAGAGGTCTTTGAGGGTATGTATGTCTACACTACAACATAAGCCCATGCTTGAAGCCAGAGTCAGGCGTAACCCACTTTGTGTCTACATTGCAATTGCACTAACCCAGGGCCTAAGTTCCCTCTAAGCTTCGTGGCTGGGCAGGGGCCCAGGGCTGTGGCGGGGAGAGATACTTCTCCACCAGCACGGACCTACCGCGGCTGGGAGAGGTGCCCTCCCTGCCGGCCCAGCATGCCGCAGCCAGGGGAGAGGAACCCTGCCCTTGGCCCAGGTCTACCAGAGCTGCTAGGGAGGAGCACCTCCCACAGCCCGGCCCAGCCCCACAGGAACTGCTGCGGCTGGAGAGAGGTGCCTCTCCCCCAGCCCTGAGCTGCTGCAGTGAGAGAGGGTTGGGGGGAGTCCTCTCTCCCCACTGCAGCCTTGGGCCAGCCTGCACCCCATACCCCTCATCCCTGGCCCCACCCCAGAGCCTGCACCCCCAGCCAGAGCCCTCACCTCCTGCTGCATGCCAACCCTCTGCCCCAGCCCTGAGCCCCCTCCCACACTCCAAACCTCTCGGCCCCACTCCCACCACATGCATTTTGTTATGTGCACCAATATGAAGGTGTCACACATCACCTCTATATTGGTGCACATAAAATTAATTCCGCACATGGATGTAAAAAATTAGAGGGAACACTGCCCAGGTCTCAGACCCAGGGTCCCAGGACCCCACGGGGTGGAGGGTCCAAGCTCGACTTAAGCAGGGCCCAAGCCCTATTGCTTTGCAACATAAACACAGCCCCGTTGACTTGGGTCCTGGAAGTCAGATGGAAGAATCCCACAGTTCCATGAGACAACTTCCTTAGTCCTTTCTATCCCAACTATCTACAATCCACTCTATTAAAAATGGAAGCCACCCATCCTTTGCAAACGGCAGCAGCTCAGATCAGCATTCACCCATTTTCTTCTGATCACTGATCTGCAAGCACACTATCAGAGAACCTTCTCGGTTTGCAATGTAGCGCAAACCAATCAAACCCTTTGTACAGCGAGCTGCTTCCTGGTTGCGTGCAGGGCAGGCAGTAAAGTTTTCCCACGGTGCACCACGGTTCTAGAGCTAGAGCAGCCATATTTTGTGGGGGAGAGGGGACACTAGGGACTCTGGGATATAGTTATTTTGACTCGGGTCTGTGCACTGCACTGTGGATGCCAGAGTCCTAGGCTTGAGCATGGGTTATAAAAGTCTTAACCTAGGATTAAAACACAACGTAGACACTCAAGATCAGTGCACCCTAACACGGCTCAGTGGATTCGAGTCCCAATAATCCTGGGCTTAAGTTGTAGTATAAACACATGCGGAGAAATTTCTTCCCAAGAGGCTATTAAAGAATCTAAATAGTCATGTGGTGAGAGGGAAAGTATTGTCATGGATCAAAAACTGTCCAGTGAAGACTGAGGAACTTCAGGGACGTTTAACCAAGCTAGTCAACACAATGGCAAATGAAGTTGAATATTAATAATGGCAAACTACTCACTCACCTTACAGGATTCTAACCATATCAACTCAGGAAAATATGGGGGCCTCTACATACTCTACTCTGTTCTAAAACAGTTCTCAAATATAATACTGCTTTCCACACAACTCAAGGAAATCATGCTAGAACCCTAGAATCAACAGCCATGTTTAAATATGGTTGTAGTTAGCATGGTTCAAATCTCATTGCATATAAAACAATGCTCTAGAACCAAGATTCCTGAACTGTGAATTTATGAAGTTCTGGCAAGTCAGCAAGCCTGTATTTTGGTGCACAACTAGAGTTGATAACTAACATTTTTTCACATTTGTGGCATGACAAAGAACAGCAGAGCCACTTGAAGCCAAGTCACTATTCAACTGACACATTCAACATCACTTTCTTGAAAATTATAGTACACAGTGTGGCCTAAAACTGTATTCAGAAGACCTGGGTTCTATCTCTAGCTCTTCCACTGGTCAGCTGGGTGACACTGAGAAAATCACTTCACCCCTCTGTGCCTCAGTTTTCCCAACTGTAAAATGGACATAATGAATCTTACCTCCTTTTTGAAGGAATATAAAATCTGTCAACAAGAAGTGCTATATAACATTATTATTACCTCTCTATCTTGTTTGCAAGGTGCCTATCAACATGACAACATCCCTGCTATTATCAAAGTAGGGCAAAGATTTTTTCAGGGTGCAGTCCTGAATGTGCACCTGTGAAGTCCTTCAGCAAGCATTATAGCAAACGTTCAATTGTAGTTGGACACACGCTTTATGTCTGCTATAACCAAACTGTGATATAACCTGCAGTATGAATAGCATGCTTATACTTGAAAAAAATTTTACTCTATTTTGCATCTTTTTCCCAAACTCCCAATATTGGGAGATCCAGGAAATGTTAAAAGTTAGCTGGAAACTTAGAAAAAACATTTGCTAAAATATTTAATGAAAAGCCCAATACAAACCTTTACAGCTGAATTTTCATTGGGGAAAGTAGCAAAAGCTGTATGTTTCTGGAAAACAAACATAATTATTTGTCCGTTATAGCTTTTTAGATCAGAGTATGAGAGATCTCAGCCATATACACACACTTTTGGACTACAGTTTTTTACCAAAGATTTAGCACTAGAAAATACATTTAAATTAGATTTTAAAGGTAAATTATAAATAAAAATTTCAAAGTTAATTAAGTTATTTGCAGGTTTCAAGTTTTCTGGTTTTTAGTCTACTAAATGTATATTTGGGGCAAGAGATGGACGACCAGGGAGTGCATGGCTCACAAAAAGGAACAAGAGGGAGGAAAACAGTCAGCTCTGTGTCCATGAAGGCAATGGAGCTCTGCAAAGAGGTAGAGGGTTGTGGGGAAGAAGTGAAGATTTGCCAATGTAAAATTAAAGCATGCTTAGTCTGTGGCCAAGCAGATATTGGGGAAGTTTATCAAGCCCTGATTTTCACATGAGTATACCATCTCTAAGTCATCATAATTGTATATTAGATATATTTTATGATACAGGCTTTTCTAGTGAATAAAATCTAAGTCAACAGTGCCAACTGGCGGAACATCTTCATCAAAGAAATTCTTACCAACACTACTTTCCTGGGGCAAAGGCATCACCACACCTAATGCTATGTTCTGACATTTGGGAGGTTTTTCTGCTTATTTTCTAGCCTGGATGATTTACCTCTTTTTCCTAAGTACAAGCCACTTTTTCCAAAATGCCTTCTCAGATTTCAAATCTGAAACAAACTATCATTTAATTAATAGTTTAGACTTCAGCCTAAAGTTTTATTAGCTGGCATAATTTTATATGTATATACTGGAACAAAATTTTACTATTATTTTGGCATTTGTTTTGCATCTTTTTACAAAGATCCTACAAACACTAAAAACACATACTTAACTTTATTTCCCCAAATGGTTCCAGTAACTGAATTTTAGACTGAGTCTTAAACATTATAGTCTGTTATAGTGAAAAAGCATTAAGGGTCTAACAGAAGATGATAAAGAAAATTCACATTTCAAGATGACAGACCAAATATATAATAGGGCATTGCCACAACTACTTCCTGGATTGAGCCTCTCTATTCTGGAACTGTCCAACATAAATTATTAAGTGCACTAGTTCAGGCTTTTAAATCATCTCGCAGTTTTTTAAAAACAATTTGGCTTTGTCACCTCTAACCAACAGTCCACACATCTTGGATGTCTGGGAGATCTCAAGTGTCCACTTGCACCATTATAATAATTTTTGTCACTACAAAATTCTAAGTTAGAGTTTGAAATACCTTTATTTACTATAAAGGCCATTTTCAAATTCCTGGTTCAATGGGGTTTGACAACTTTTAACCCCAAACTGGAAACACTGTTTTTACTCCTATGACCCTGAAGGCTAGCCTCACTATACATCAATAAAAACTAAAGTTGTGTGGTTATTTTCAGAATGCTTTCATAATATTGGGCATGGGAATCATATTGCATATTTTTGGTGTATTATTTAGGGTCCAAACAAATCTTTTATCATCCATTTATCACTGTCACAACAAAAGCTTGATCCTGAAATAAGCTCTATGTGGACAGACCCCTGCGTCTGTCTGGAGGCCCACTGAAATCAACTAAGCTCTGTGTGAGAGCCAATCGGGAATTTTTCAACGTTTTGAAGTTTTATGGGAACTTAACAGTTTCAACAAAACTTTAGTTGGGTCCAGGATGGAGAGGTGGGAGGATGTCCCAGAATAGCTTGGCGAAAGTGGCGATTAGGGTGCTCCGCTGCACTGTGGGAGACGCAGGTTCAAACCCCTGCTCTCCCAAGGGCGCTGTTGCTCGCTGTCCAAATTACATGTTCAGGGACTGGAACCTGGGTCCCTAACCACAGCGCTACCGAGCCCCATACAGCTTTAACTCTGCAGCAAGCAGTTGCCAATAGCCGGGAGGTTCCTTCTCAAACATAATTATTATGGAGCGGCGCCGTGGCGGCCGGACAAGAACAAACGCAAAGGGGAGGGAGAGGCCAGCCCCCCCCCCCATCAGGCACCCCGCCCCTCCCTATCCCCTCGGGTGCTTCCGGGGAACAACGGGACGGGGAGAGGTGGAGCCTCCTCCCGCAAAGTTCGCGCCGCCAGAGCGCTGGAGCAGGGGGAGGGGGAACCACGCAACCTGCCCTGCCCCGCCCGTATCAGACGCTGCGGGGTCACCCTCCCTCGAGAGCCCCGCCGGACATGATCCCCGCCCCCCGCCAGGCCGCTCCCGCTCCCTACCAGCCGCCCCTGGTCGGACAGGACCCGCACGGACGCGGCCCCGAAGTGCCTCAGCAGATCCTCCTTCTCCGCGGCCGTCAGGTCGGCGGGCAGGTGCCGCACCAGCAGCGTCCGGCTCCGCCGCCGCCGCCCCACGCACGGGGGCCCTCCCCCTGCCGCCGCCTTGTCCTCCTCAGAGCCGGGGGCCGCCATCCTGCGGGGTGGGGAGTGACCCAGGGTCAGAAAGGCCGTGCGAACCCGGCCGCGACACCCGGGGACTGCAGCTACAACCCTCGCGAGAACTCCGGCGGTGAGGGGCGGGGAATACAAACCTCCCGAGAGTCTGTGCGCTTCCGGGTTGTGCCGGCGCGCGCCCAGGCTGCTCGTGCTCTGCTGAAGAGGGGGCGGTCCCTTGAGGGGCGGGCAGGGAGCGGAGCCTGGGCGGGACTGAAGGGATCCCGGGGTTTCGCTCCACTGCCGGAGCAAATAGTGATTGTGCCTGGCTCGTGGACTCCAGGGCCCGTGCAAGGAAGTTTCCTGCCCTAGGCGAAACTTCCACCTTGCGCCCCTAGCCCTGCGGCAGCCCCCCCCCCCCCCGCCCCGGCGCCCCCCCCCCCCCCCCCCGCGGCAGCTCCTCCCCTCTGCCGCCTTGAGGCGCCCCCCACGGCAGCTCCCCCCTGGGGGAGCCGTGCGGCAGCTCCCCACCCCAGCTCACCTCCGCTCCGCCTTCTCCCAGGAGCATGCCACCCCCACTCTAATTCTCCTCCTCAGCTGATTGGCGCCGCAAGCCTGAAGGCGGGAGAAGTGGAGCAGCCGCTGCGCTGGGAGAGGAAGTCTGAGACGCACGTGTCAGCATGCCACCGGCAGCCCAGCCCAGGAACGCTGTAAAAAAAAAATTGGGGGCACCGCTTTTTGGCGCTCCCAAATCTTGGCGCCCTAGCCAACCGGCTAGTTTGCCTTAATGGTAGCACCAGCCCTGGCTGACTCCCGCTGCAGGCGCTGTGCTCCACAGTACAAGTGGGTTCGAAGTCACTTCGCTTTCAGAACACGTCCACACGGAGCTGTTCTGGGGCAGCTTTGTCCGCACAGTTATTGGTTGCCCTGTGTAACCACGCCCTCCGCCGACTGCCCCGGCCTGCTGGCTGCTCTGCACTGAAAAATTAGATCAGCATGGCTATGTTGCCCAGACTGTGAAAAATTTTGTAACCTGGGGAGCCCCCTACTTAGGCTAACCTAACTCTTGAGGTTCTCCCCATTGGACACTTGGTCTAAGATGGATTCCAAGTGGGGGTGGGAGGGGGGATAAAAAAATCAGTGTGCACCACACTAAATCACTGCCTGCATGAGTGCAAAACAGACCAAGTACCAATCAGATATTGCCTGCAAAAGCAAGCATAGTTGCAGAGTATATATATAGCAGTGTGCTTTTCTGCACTCATTTTGGGCACATCAGGCATAGAGATGGAAATAACCTCAAGAAAGTTATCATGGAAGGAATGGTGGCAGGGCATTTTAGTAGGGATGACAGGTGAGGGTATGGGTAGATGGTGTGTGACAAATTACTGGGAGGTCAGCTGCTGAATTTGCAAAACTGGTGATGGCTCGAGAAGGCTTCAGAAAATTCTGCTATGCCAGCGCCTGTGTTCAGATGTGAATAAATGGACTTTACTTACTCACTTTTTCTCACGATGGCAATAGCATTCCAGCATTTTCAGAGGCAGCCAGAACTTTGAAGATGATAGTGGCATAGGAAATAAATCCAGTGCATGGCCTATAGCAATATTAAGTCTGGAGTACTCCCACTTTCAAAGTCTCTTGGAAATACAGGTCCGGCATCCAGCTGCTGTGGGTAGAAGGGAGGGAGGTGTTGCAAAGGCACATTTGTGGTGGTTTTATGCTTCTGCATCCTACTTCAGCATCCTGTTTATGTTGGCCAGAATTTTAGTTTGTTCCTGGGTCATGGTGCAGGCAAACTTTTCATTTAGCAGGAACTTGAAATGGTCTATCAGGTTTTCTCCCAGAAGCCTGGAACAACTGTTCTCTCTTCCACTTAGGGATCTCAAGCAAGTTCACATCTTCCAGTGCTACCACATACTGAAAAATTTTTAAGATCATCATCACTAGTACTGGTCTGCGTGCTGTCCCACACCTTTCCCCCTCTAATTGCACTTGCCATTGTCCTGATGAGAACCCAGAGACCAGGCAGAGAAGTGCAGAGATAGTGAATGCATACTAAAGAGATTAAAGTTAAAGGGGAGAAAGTTTGCACTACTTTTACCTTGGATAGAAAAGTAATGTACTGATTATTTGCTTCTTAGGACGTTTACTCTGTGGCAGTTGGACTGCCAGTGTTCATTTTTACACTGTTTACTTTATGGCAGCTGAGTTTCCAGCATTGTTCACTTTGAACAATTTGCTTTTCAATCCCTTGCTATGTGAATACTTTGATACCAACAGAGAAAGAGAGGAACTTCCAAACACACATTTTAATGAAGAATCAGCTTGACAGGACACATGTGAGATAATGTCATAGAAACACAGACAGTGCAGTAATATTGTAACATTGTATTCAGATAATTTCACTTCCCTCTTTTTTCATTTCTCCCTTCAACCTAGGGATAGTAAAGGTCACTCGTTCCAGTCCATGTGTCCCCCCACCCCAACTCGCACTTAGTGATGCCCATATTAACAATGTACAGAAGGGGATCAGATTAACATTAACCCCGCAAAACACATTTTCATAATTTCAGCTATAAATATTTCCTCCCATTTCTATAAACATTCAGTCATTGCCAGGCCAACCCATGACTTTACCTGGAGCCTTCCAGGCCCCTTATTATAGTTCTTCTAACTTAATCAATCCAGTTTGTACCAGTCTATTTGTCTCCAAATTTTGCTGACTTTTAGAAACAATTTTATTTAAACATATTGAGTTGAACTTCTGTTACTTTGGACAACGTAGAATTAATGAGATGAGGCTGCCAGCCCTTGTTGGACATTGTTCATCGGGAATGGAGTGTGTGTGTGTGTGTGTGTGTGTGTGTGTGTGTTTGTGTGTTGGGGGGGCACATGGACTAGGAGGTGTGAGCTTTACCATCCTGGCTTCCACTCTACCATTTCCTGAATCCCGAGAGCCACCAGGTTGCTGATAGTTTAATTTAGGAAATGGTTGATGAAGACCTAAGTTTCAAAATCTTGTCTGCTGCAGACACGGGAGGCTGATAAACTTCATAGTTGCAGACCAGTACAGATTTTGACATCCCCTAGCTGTCTGTGATTGTGTGTGTCACTTTCAAAGTTCTTTACTTAAGAAGCATCTATTTCTAAAAAGGTTGTTTTTATAAGATGCTGGAGAGGAGAGAACAGAGTTAAAAGTTAAATATGTCACTCAGCTCAGCAGTTAAGAATCAAATGGATAGAACAAATGAAATGTGGTATTGTACCAACCTATGCCTCGCAAGCTGCAAAGGCCCAATTGTGTGATAGATTCAAGATAAGGGAAGCCAAAAGTTATTTATGAAGGAAACTTGAAGTTGTGGAATTTCTTCCTTGAGTGTAAATGCTGTTTCTATAACCACAATTTTCATGACTTTCTGTTTTAAAGAATTTAACAATAAGTGAGAAGCCACAATATTTGTGTGGAATATAGGTAACTTTGAGATTAAAGTGAAGTGAAAGTGAAAACACTTGAAAACCACTCATATAGATGCACATTTTTTTCTCTTGTCTTTGGTGGGCTAGGAACCAGTCAAATAGGTCTGATTTCACTAGAGACTTCAGAGCTTTACTATTAAAGAAATCAAAACTAAACTAAATATGATCATTTTAACAAAGTTTTAAAAACTGGTATTTTTGCAAATTTTTAAACTGTACAAGAAATTTTGAAACAATTTGAACATTGCCCCCACCTAGTACCAATGCCATCCCAAGCAGCTATTTGCAAACAAATTCTAAACACTGAAAGCAAGTTCACAGTGAAAATAACTGGCCAATTTGGAGGTGAAGTGAACATAAGTTTTCATGAACTCTGAAGATGAAGTTTGAGTTAATATTCATGTCGATGCACTTAAGATGGAAAGCATTTCTTCATGGGCATAGTGCATAATGCTTTTAGATCTTAAAAGCATTCATTCAGTTCTCTTGCTGAGGTGTTATTTCCTGATGATAAATTCACAATTTTGAATTGGTGCTAAGTCGCCTAGTGGCAAAAGGAGTTACATTTTCTATTCAAGAAACGTTCTCTTTCATAGTTGTAATGTATAAGGCCAGATTCTCCGCAGCATGGGTCTGTTGCACCAATCAGATGGGAATAAAGGTGCCATAATCTAGCTGCAAATTCCTGAGTAGAACTGTGCCACAGCTGAGTCTGCACCTCTGTCCAGGGCTTAATTTGTGCCACGGCTGACACCTCTAGGTTTGCCAGTTCATAGTTCCAGCACCTCTGGGCTTGCTGAATCAGTTATGAATGTAAAAAAAAATTGCTTGAGTCCCAGCACCTCTTTCATTACAAATTAAGCACTGCCTCTGTCCCCCTTTCCCAGCTCCTCTCCAGCCTAGGAAGAAAGGCAGTAGGAATGGGAAATGGCATAGCTATGCTATGTTACAACAATCCTCCATGACCTTATAAGCTCCATTGAGGATCTTCCATCAGTGGCACAATCTAGAGCTGCATGGCAACAGCTCTAAATCCTGCCAGGGTCAGCTCTAAGAATCACAGAGTTGTAACTGTTGCCCTGAGCAGATCTCTGGTATAGGAGATAATCTCGCCTATAGTGTTTAAGAATAGTATTGGCATAGTTTTAAATTCAAATCAGTTCCTCTTGTTCAAGAGTATCAAACATATTTCTGAGTAACTCCAGTATCCCTTGACGTCCTATTCAAGACAGAAATCACCACATTGTGTATTGTCATTTATGTACTTAGTTCAGATGCTAACCACATGTTCACAATGCACCTAACAAAAAGTTGCCACCACCAATGCAGCCCCAACAAAAGCATCCGATCACGTCTTTCTTTCTCTCCAAACAGAGTTTGCATGGTTTGCTCTGTGAAGAATGACTTTTGACCTTTTTATTTCTTATTACCCTTTGTTCTGGTTGCATTTTTATTCATCTGAGTGATGAACACGAAGTTTTTGTTCAAAGCAAAAGTACTGCTTTTATACCAGTGACAGCTTTACATTTATTTTACTGCATATGAACAGGAGTTTTCAAGTGAGTACACCTCCTCTTTATTAATTTCAAGTGCTACATTTTAATAATAAAGAACTATTAAAAACTGCTTTTCACATATAATGACCAAGAAAAACTACATGC